GAAAAGGAATTATAAGATTTAAATGTGGTTATGTATGTCTATACAGAGCTGTTCTAAAGACTAAATCCCCAGGTTATAAACATGAACTACAGGAGAAAAGGTGAGTGAGAAAAAGGTTAAGAACTCTGTTTTGACAATGCTGAGCTTAAGCTAATGAGTAGATATCCATGAAGCAATGTTAGATCTTTTTTTTGAAGAAAAAGCACTAAAGTAGTGATTTGAGAGGTAGGAGGGGACTGAAAATATCACAGTGTCAGACAAGCAGAGGGAGTATGAAATCTCAGGAGAAGTATGTTCAGTGTTCTCTAAAGCAACCAACAGGTTGAGGAGGATGAAGGTTAAATATCTGTCCTAATGCTAAGAAGGGAAAGTCAACTGGAGAATGTACAGGCAGTTTCAAGAAGTTATAGAGGTTGGAAGTTAGACTGGCAAGAGTCTTGGATAGAACTGAAGACAAGATGCTTCAGGAAGCAGTTGTAGACAGTATGTTCAGTGATTTCTCAGGTGAAGGGAGGGGATTATGGTATGTTATTGGTAGACAGAATGAAGGGTGGGTTTCTTATGCTTGAGGGGGAGATAAGCCATACTTTTTATTGTGAGAGAAATGAGCCTGATGAGCGTGAAAGGTAGAGGAGAAAAGTAGGAGGGGGTGAGAGTAGAACCAATTAGATCAGGAAACCTAATGAAAAAAGGAAGTGTTTGGATAGGTGATTTCAAGAGGAGAGGAACAAACAAGAACTCAGATTCATTGACAAAGGAAAAGCAAAATAGGCTAGTAGGAGGGAGGGAAGGAAGGCGGTGAAATGGTGGAGAGAGTGCAAAAGGGAAGTCCTTTCGGATTTTGCTATTTTGAATGATAAATTTGGTTAGATCCTAAGAGGAAGGAACTGAAAGTAGTGAAAGGTCTGATAGAATTGTGGGTATGAGAATCAGTCAGTGAGCACAGGGAAGTAGTGTTGCTTTATTGCAATATGATGGAACCAGAGGAAGAGAGAGGATATGTGATGTAGAGGACAGCTGCATGATCTTAAAAGGAGTTGTTGAGAAGAAAATGTTTAGTTCTGTATTAGAAAGCTTGTGCTGAGTTATTAGTGTCAAGGGGCTGGCTCTTGTTGACAGTGTTACATCCTTGCAAAGTAGTTGGTGGGCATATTATTTTAAATGAAAAACAGAATTATTGTGTATTTGTTTCATGTGCTACAAGATACACAGTTTAAAAGGGTTTTAGGGTGTATGCTTTTAACCATAAATAACAAAAATAAATATACTACCTGAAAATTTGCAAATGTGCAGTACCAGTTTTGCAATTTTCCTTTATGTTCAGTCACATGAGCAGTTTGGAGTAGATTCTATGCACTGTTTTCCACGAAACTATCATATATGGGTATATCTGTATTGGATCCTTTCATTAGAAAATATTATTTATTTCCTTTTGGGACCATTAATACCACAATTTTAACCGTTTCATTGGAATTTTCACAGTTCATTGCATGAACATTGGATGTAAAATTATCTGGATTTGTATCACTTTCATTGCACATTGTGATTACCAAGTAAAGAATTGTGTACCAAGTCTTTACCCACTTGGAAACACAACAGTGTGGGGAAAAATGAAAGTAGATTTTTTCCTTATTGAATTGTTCCATCATTTTTGACATATTTTTTTATCTGTCAAAAATAGATATACAATTTTTATTCAGTACTGAAGTGCACAGAGAGATATGCATTTCATTTTTTAACAATGTGGGAGTTGCAACAATCTTTTTGATTTGTATTGGCTCATGAATAAGTCAGTTTTTGTATGTTGGATAATATAGAATCTATTCAAACCTACATCCAAAGCATGTGAATATGAATGGTTTTCCTTCCACAGAATCCATTACAGCCTAATAGTAACAGAAAGGCATGCCAGTTGCCAAACTTTTAACAGTTTCTTAGTTGTGATCACTATTTCTTTTTCTGAATTATTGTTTAATTTGGGCAACTGCTGTAAATCAAGCCCCATGTAAACTTTTCTCATAGGGCAAATAAAAATGGTGCTGTTAAGTTTTCATCTAGTCTGAGGCAATGTTGTAATTGAAAAAAATTACACCATTAATCCACAGGCTATGATAGTGTTAGAAGATACATTCTGAACTACACTTATTAATTACTAATATAGACCCATCTAAATGTTACTTTTTTCAGTGTATTTTTGTTTGTATACATCTATCAACATTTGGAAATTGGATGCACAAACTTAAGTCCTTAACTCTACTGGGCGACTTACTGCTTTCCCAGTAGAAAATGCCAGCCTACAGACATTCATTTAGTTTCTCTGGGATGAAACATACCCTGTTTGGGAGAAGGTTCTTCCAGGTTGATATCTAGAAGAACTGTTCCAGGTTGACTTCCCTGTGAGGGAGTTTCTCTTGCTAGAATGAACCCCTGTATGCTTTGCTTCTCTGTGATTAGGAGAATTCAAGCAGCAGTTTCCTCTGTGCTTTCTCCAAACTGGGGGACTCTGGTCAGGGGAAGTTTGGGGGGCATTTCCCCACATTTCGACTCCTCCCAATAATGGAGGAGCTGAGCTGAGCTGCTGCTGCCCCCTGTGAACCTTCCTAACATGAGGAAACACCCTGTCTGGAAAACGCCAAGGGAGAGTTGTCGTGCACCTTCCTTCTGGTTGGAAGCCAGCTCTAAAAATGAATAGGTGTTCTTACCCTATCTTTAGCCACAAGATCAATCCTCAGTGCTGAGCACTTTGGTCGTATCTAGGAAACCACTTGAGTAAAGAAATAATTCCACTGAAGCCAGTGGGACTACTTGTATGCTCAGTTTAAGCTTGTATTTAGAAGCTATGCTGGATCAGGCGAAAGTGCTGATCATCTTGCAGGACAGATCCCCTGACAAGGTAGTATAGTAACTGGAATCCTTCTTTTCAGTAGCTACTGTTGTCTTCTACTCTAAACATCTTTACAGATGCTTCCTCCCAGACATATCATTGAGTCGGAATGTCAGAACCAGATTCAAAAGCAAACACACAGAAACTTGGTGTATAAAACAAAGGCAAATTGATTATTATTTTTTTCAGTTTTAAAGAGTACTAGAGCAGGAAATACTTAAATTCTTAAATGATCTGTGGAGTGTAAGGTGAAGATAGGGATAACTAACTACATTGTTAAATAGCTTGTTTTTTCACTTATTTATTTTAACCATATTTTTATTTAACATGTGTTTTTTGTATATTAGTGGGTTATGTTTTCTTTTGTTAGTATCTTAAATTGCATGTTACTACCACACTGCATTTCTCTTTGCTCTTTGCATTATTTGTCACTTTTAATATCTTTGGTGATTTTTGAAATATTTGGTCCTGGATCATTCTGCTGCAAATATGACCTGTCATTCCAACAAATGGACTGATTGAATCTGTCACACTGGTGGGATTTATAGTAAATTCACTGCAGCACAAGTGAAGCCATCAGAAGTTTTATTGTCTAAGTGGTTGCATAGGAGTCATCTGATTTAATCAAAATGCTGATGTTCCATTGTCCATTTAATTTTTAATTCAGTACAGTTACTTTTTGAAGTCCTATTTGCCTATAATCTGCATAGCACAGTCTCAGAATATTTTAAATATTAATTTTGTATTTACCTATCTTAACATAAATTTTAATATTCAGACAAAATAAAGCTCCTTTTCTTACAATGTATTTAAAATTTTGTATTTGCATATTCAAAATATTTTAATGAAATGGCATTTTCAAGCGATACTTGTCAAATATTGATTAGGTTATAGAAAATAAAAGTTTCTTTCAAGAAATCTGAAATGACTTCTTAATTTTATTTTTTTCCTTTAATTTCACTGACTACAAATACAATTTCTACTAATGAAACAAGAGAAACACTTATTACAAGTTATTGGTTAACAAAGGAACTTACATATAAGTTTTGCAATAATTTATTAATTTGTCAAATAGGTTATTTTAAGAATTGTTTTCCTCCAATTGGGTTATACCAAATTGTTTTTTGCAATGTGAATTCAGAGGTAGTATGTTATCCACCTATAGTAGAAAATACTGATTATGTTCCATAGCTTTAACATGTTTTGATTTTTATGTTTATTCTTTGTATATAATTGGTTGCTACAGGTTTTTGATTTTGGCATATTTTTTTAAATGTGGTTCACTTTATCACCTATTTTGCTTTGTTAAGCCTGATAGTTAACTTTCTTACTATGCCTATCTGAATCCTAAAACCGTAATAAAAATCATTTTAATAGTCCTGTAAAGCAGATCACATAAACCAAGAACATTTATTTTCATTGAAGGCACGTGCTAATTTTTTATTGAGAGATACATTAAACATTGATACATCCAACCTCTGATTGAACCTTCAGAGTTGTCACATATAGGGGCAGTTGAAGATTTATTACACAATATAAAATTAGGCGTATACAGTAAACCTGATAGTAAATGACCTTTGCAGACTGGAGATTACCACAGAGAACAGTTATTTTTGTTGAACAATAGAAAAGACTGGAAGAACATATATCCAGACATTCAACAATGAGTTGAATGAGGTTGAAATTGGAAATCCAAAAATGAAAAATAATTTAAAATAAAATCTGAAGCTTATACTGCAAGAAAAACAGGTATTCTATAAATATTGTTCTACTGATTTTGAAAAATCTCAAAATATAGGCGTCTCTGGCAACTTACATATATCAAGAGATATATATGTTTTGCTAAGCTACAATATAATGACTCAGACTAATTTAAATATTTCCAGACATAGTATAATAAGTTATGAAAGGCACTTGTAAAAGCTGACTATAAAAAAGCTGTTTTGAGCACGTTTAGTTTATAAATTAATGGAATATAATATGCTTTGGTCAAAATAAATATGTATTTAAATAGCAAGAAACTCTATAAGGTGGCAAAAAGGCTAAACTTCATTGTACTGTACTTAGATCATTACTTATTCTCCTATCTGTCTTTTCTGTTGATTTAAATACACAGCTGGAAGACCTAAAGACGATTGTTCAGCAGCACAGGCAGTCTTCAGTGGACAATCAAAATGTACCTATCACTGAAGTAGCCCACTGGCACGATGCCTTTGTGACTCTTAAATGTGATTTCACAGAACTTGAAAAGAAGCACCTTGAAGCTTTACTATAGCTCAGCCACAAAGTGTATGTGACAAAAGCTCGCAGCATAGAAATATCAAAAGCAACATCCAAGGTATTTTTCAAATGATACTGCATATTTAACTTAAATAAAACCTGTTTTTATTTATTTTTAAACTGTGAGAAAATCCCTCCAAGTACAAAAAAGCAAATCTATACAAGTTGGGAAACATTATTTAAAAAAAATAAACTTTCCTACTTACTCCATCAAAAACACAAGCTTTATATCAACCAGCACCATGTATCGAATGAAAAGATTGCACATGGGTGGTTTTCATTTATACTTCCTAAAATTGTGCTGTCCTTGACATTAAGAGATCTTGCTTATTTAGTGCAAGGGGGAAAAGAAAATGAAAAAGAACATGGCAACATATTGTAAGAATATAACATTTATTCTTCTCTGCATGAAGTAGTAATTTTGGTTTCTTTTAAGGTATATAAGTTAAATTTATAGAAGCATAGCTTTTAAACTGTCAATTTTTAAAATTAGTCTATTTAGTTAGAGACCAAAAATCTTGCCATTGAATGGTCTGTGGTCTCATGAAATGAACTGATGGTCTTCATTCTGTCACCAGTGGGCAACGTCTGTGTCAAAAAATCATCACGCTAGCGACCTTATTGCTACCTATGTTGAGAGTCTCACTAAGACAAAAAAAGAATATTCTTCACTGTTGAAACCTGCTAGCTCCCTGACAACCGTTTTGCTCAGGATAATTTCTGTTATCACAGTTAGGGGAGGGGAAGGGAGAATATGTTGGCCACAACATGATGCACCAGCAAAACATGCTGGGTCAGGCCCTAAACAAAGGAATGAAGATTAGTCAGATTTTACACACAATGCTGTAATTATGAAGTGCACTATCCCTGAGTTCATAGCTTCATTAAAGTTATTTTACACCAGCTGAAAAATTGATGCTACTGAATTTATTCCTTTGATAAGTGTCCTTTTTATTTTGGTTGCATTTTTCAAAACATGGTTGAAACACTTATGATCTAATGTTCTATGACTCCAGTATCCAGGGCTCTCTGTTTGTAAAACTTTGTATTGTTCATTCCTCTGCTCCAGTTGGATCTAAGGCTATGACCTCCAGTGTGCCTAGTTCAGTCCAGACATTAAACCTAATCCACTGCAGGGCTGTAGAATATTAATTAGAAGATGCAAATCATACTGCTGTATGTATTTACATAACCCATGCACCTTCACCCCAGAATTAGCTCCAGAATAGGGGTGCGTATCTTAAGCAGGGAGGATGATTTATTATCCCAGAATAGAAGCACAGAGAAGTGTTAAAATGGCTGCTGCTTTTCCTTCTCTTCTTTCCAGCGGCCAAGAGATGAGGAGTCCAGCAGGGGCAGATCCAGGGTTTAGCAGTGGTATAGTGGCATTCCCTTTTGATTCCTGTTTCCTCCAAGGTTTTAAAACCAACTGCGTGGCAGAAATGGTGGCATTTCTGTTTAGCCAATACTAAGGTTGTCAGTTGACTTAATGGCTCATTATAATCAACTTGATATCTACTAGTCCCTCTTCACCTCCACAGATGCTAATGGCCCTGTCTCCTTTTTAATGGTCTTCATGTTTCAAAAGTCAATCTGTCTTTTTTGGGCAGTTCTGCTATCTGTTTTTTACTCATGGTCTCTCTTCTATTTCACAACCCTGCAGACTATTTTTAGTTCTTTTCAAAATCATGGAGCCCAGCATGAGCAGCAAAGAGCTGCTGACAGTTCACCTGTGAAAGGGTTAAAACTGTAGCTTTTGCATGAGTGGGAAAGAGAGGGTGAGCTGAAGATTAGGCTCTGCCCCTTCTCTGTGTGCCCATAACCATGACATTTTCCCCCTTCATTTTGCCTTCCTCCAAACAAAGATGCAGGTCTTATTTTGGGGGCATATGGTATGCAAGAAAGTACAGTAAATATTACTACAAATTTTCCCTTACGTGTTGATTTAAGAGGTAGTAAGTCAGGGAAACCTTGAGTTACTGCTTTTGTGCCTTAGTAGCAAAGCTTCCTTGAAACCTCCTTTATAAGCATGGTCCTGATTGATATATAGGCTCATATGCTTTCCTATTGACAAGCAACTGAAACTTCGTTGTGGTAGGTCCTATGGTATGAAATTCTGTCTCATTACATTTTTCACAACTTCCAATCCTTTATTATGTGGATCTCTTTCCACTATACTCCAGTGAAACAAATGCAGCAGAGCAATATGTAACTCCGTGCACCAGAAGTGTGAAGCAAGGTGGCAGCCTGTTAATAGACTATATTAGCTCAGAGGGAAAGGGGGTTGCCTTCTTAAGAAGCAGAGTGCAGTCATAGTTCTGAGTTGTCTCACTGTCTTTTTTCTAAGTACTTTCCCCATTTACTTCTGGTTCTATTAATCCCACTTATTCCTTTCCCTTTTCCAGTCACCTCAACAGCAAAAAGTTCTAAGCTTCTTTTCCTGTCCCCCACTCACAAAAACTATCAGTGTTAATTTCCTGGATTTTTGGAGCAGTGTCCTGATGGTATAGGGTAAGATCATCTTCACTTCCATTTCCTCCAGTAGGGCTGTGCAAAGCTTTGGTCGCCGATTCGATTTGGAGGAGATTCAGCCCGATTTGGTGGCCAAATCTCCAAATCTGAATTGAATCAGGAGACCCATTAAAAGGTCCAAATCAAATCAGAAGCCTCTGAATCGATTCAGAAAAGATTCAGAGAGATTTGGAGATTTGGATTGGCCAGGGAGAGGCAGGCACAGCCGGGTGGCTGCAGGGTCTCCCGTGGCTCCTCCAGCTGTGCCTGCCTCTGCCCCAGTGGAGTGATCTGTAGGGACTATACCCTGCTTCTGCTTGCCCAGTCAGTGTGGTGGGGAGCACAATGGAGGTCAGCACGCTCTGGGTGGCAGCAGGGCATAGCCCCTGCTCCCAGTGCTGTTGTGACTGCATCAGTGCTGGGAGTGGGTTCTCTGCCCTGTCACCACTTCCCAGCTGGTGTGGGGG